ATGGTTTTTGAGATTTTTTATAATATTGATAAAATCATTTTTGTTGAGAGGGAAGAGAGGGGTAGTAATAAGTTGAGATGAAGAGAAGGAAGAGGGACAGGGAAGTTTACTATTAAAGAGTGATCTATAGTGATCCACGAAAATGTTTAATTGGTCTATAGGATTTTTTTATAGTAAAATGACCAATTTTGAAGTTGTTAATTTTTTTGTCATTAGAAGATGTGATAAATTTTAGTGTTTTAAACGCATTATAAAGGTCGTTTTTGCATTTGAATTCAGAGATATTATTGATTCTATTTTTGAGAAAATTTCTTTTATCTTTTCTAATTGATTTTTTAATAATGTTAAGTTTAGTTTTAATGTGTTGTTTTTCTCTAGTTTGTTTTTTTATATTTTTATTGGGGAGAGAATTGATTAGATTAGAAGTATGAGAACTTAACCAATCAGGATAGATTGTTTTGATATTTAAATGAAGATTTGCTGAATTGATAATGGAATTTTGAATATTGCTCCAAGAGTTATTAATATTGACTGATTTGAGAGATAGGGATATTTAAATTGTTGATATTATATTTTTTTGATGTAGAAGATATCGAATTTTTTGATTGGAATTATTAAGAAAACTTAATAATGAAGGTTTAATAGAAAGTTGTAGGCCAATAGGGCGATGATCCGATAAGAAATCGATATCATTAAGAATTAAAATATTTTGTATAAAAAAGTTCATTTTAATACTTGTAAGGAAAAAATCAAGTTGACTTTTATATAAAGAGTTAGGTTTAAAATAGGTAAAATAATTATTATTATTTTTTTTTTAAAAAAGTGTTAATTATTCTAAGATTAAATTTTTTACAAGTTTCAATAATATTTTTACCATTTTGATTTGTTTTTTGATCAAGGGCAGCAAAACCGATAGTTTTATTTATATATTCGTTACCAATTTTAATGTTAAAGTTGCCACCTATGATAATAAAATGATTTGTATTAATTTGTTTAAGGTGGTTATTTAGAGATGTAATGAATTTGGGATATTCTGAGTGATTAGCGGGAGCATAAATATTAATAAGATGGGTTATTTTTCCTTTAGTTTTAAGTGTAATTGAAGCAATGCGATCACTGATTGGAGTGAAATTGGATGTATATTTTAGAATAGAATCTTTAATAATAAATGATACACCATTATGATAGTTAGAAGAATTAGAATTGAAGATTGTATAACCTCTTAATTTTTTAATTATGTTATTATTGATTAAAGCTTCTTGTGTCATTAATATATAGATATCCTTTAATTTTCTTAGTATAGTAACTTTATTTAATAAACCAGGTATATTATAAGAGTAAATAATTAATTTTATTTAAAGACATAATTTTAAGAAAAAGATAAGTATTAAATATTAAAATTTGGTTTTTGTTAGATAAATTAAAAATGAAAGCAGACGATTTTATTTTATTTAGAAATGAAGAAAAACAGACGATTTAATTTAAGGTTAAAAAATAACATGTTGAGTGTAGTGTTATTGAAAAAATAAAGTTAATAAAGAAGTATTAGATTAAAAAAAATTATGTAAAAAAATAGATTATTTTATTATAAAAAAAGATAAGAAAGTTAAATTAAATAAATTTATAATGTTATGAAAGAATTCTTATTAATAGGTAAAAAGTAACAATAATGAAAAAGTTGATTGATAAATGGATGAGATCTTTGAGAAAGGGGAAATAAAGAAAAAGTTATATATAGGAATTGGAGATTAGAAATAGTTTAGGATAAGAATATATTGAATATACTTGTATTTCTTCTTAAATTGGTTTATGAAAGATAATATATATATATGTATGAAGATTTGTGATATATGTATTGAGAAGATTTTGATTATAATAAAGATTATTAAATGAGTTGAATATTTTGTAGAGTACAAGTTTAATTAATGTGTGAGTGGTAGTAATGGGTGAGAATTGATGAGAGAATCTATAAAATAAAAAGATTAAATGAAATAAAAATTAGCCTGAATCTTGAGGAAGAAGAAATATTAATTTTTTGAATTATGTTTTATTCATATTGTTTATTTCATTCATATTTTGGATATTAAGGAAAATTGATTAAAACGATTTAACATCAGCCATTTTTCCGCAGACGATTTGCAATAATTATTTTATCGATTACTTTAATGAAAAGGAATTAATTTTTCAACTATTTTACACTAAAAGCATTATCATCTGTTTGTATAAAAAATAAATTAAATTAACAAATAAAAATAAATATGTAGCGATGACATAACATAGCGATGACATAACATAGCGATGACATAACATAGCGATGACATGACATAGCGATGACATGACATAGCGATGACATGACATAGCGATGACTTGACGTCACGATGACGTAGTGAGGACATCGGAAAATTATAATATAGATGATCGGATAGATATGAAAATATTTTGATTATTTTTTGTTGCGCTTTAAAATATTTACACGAGTTTTCCCAGGTTCTTTATAGAATTTGATTGTGCCACTTGTTGTGAATGTTAGAATTAATTTGCATAAAGATTTCTTTTGGATTTTGTAGTACTTTATATGTAATTTGCATAAAGAATTCTTTATTGTTATAACGCGTGATAAAAAGATTATATTTGAATAGTTTAGATTAGTTATAAGAAGATTGAAAAGATAAAAAGGAAAATTTTTACGATACAAGGAATCTTTGATTTTTTTAAAATTATTAACCTTTTTAAATATATTATATTATATTTTATTATATTTTATTTTATTTATTTATTTTTTTGTATTAGAATACAGTTTGACACCTCTCCTTGTTGTCCCACCTGTCACAATGCGTGATTTGTATTAAGACTGAAGGTTATAAAGGGCCGGTCTCCTCCCCTCTCCAACACTATTGTCACAACGACAAGTCTGGTTTGTCATTGTGCATCAAAACCTAAATATAAAAATAGAAAACAAATATATATATAAAAAGGAAATTAATAATAATTAGGAATCACTAAATCATAAAATCAACTTTAATTCTTTATTCAACATTATAATAGTAAAAATCATAAAAAAATAAAATAAAATAAAATAAAATATAATAAAATATAATTAAAAAGGTTAATAATTTTAAAAAAATCAAAGATTCCTTGTATCGTAAAAATTTTCCTTTTTATCTTTTCAATCTTCTTATAACTAATCTGAACTATTCAAATATAATCTTTTTATCACGCGTTATAACAATAAAGAATTCTTTATGCAAATTACATATAAAGTACAACAAAATCCAAAAGAAATCTTTATGCAAATTAATTCTAACATTCACAACACCACTAATATGTCTTTTCAATTGTTATTCTACTAAATGTAACCAAATTTATTACATATTCATACTTTAAATTTTCTTCAATCTATATTTATATTTTTAATTTCACATAATAATCAAAAAATTCTTAAAATTATAACAGAATATGTCTCTATTTAAAATTTATCATATATTTATACTATTTTATAATAATGATAATAAATATTTAGCGAAAAACACAAAAAATATATTCGAAAAAATGATAATCGTATATAAAATATTTAAAATGTCTTAAAAATCAATAATAATAAGTGTAATACAATTACAATTCAAATGATATGAATATGAAAAAATATATTTATTTTATAATCTTGCCAAAAAATTTTGCATGGGAAGGATTCCCCTCCTCCGCTGGCTACACGCCTGACTTAGGATTGTTGGATAAACGTTGAATAGAGCTAAGACATAGGCGTAGCCAAGGGAGGAGGGCAGGGGGAAATCCCCCCTCTTCAGAAATTTATTACTTTTTGTGAATATCATCTTAAGCTAATAAAAAATATCCCCCTTAGTCCTCCCCCAACTCCCTGACCCCCCAAAATATATGCATATATCTTAAACAATAATTTGAAAGAAAGATTTTTATAAAACTATTCATCATAATTTATAATTTTTGGAAAAAAACATTTATATTTAAAAAATTGAACCAAAAATGTTTTTTAAGAAATGGAATATAAGCCAAAGATAAGTCTTATGACAAAAGTGAAATGTATAATAATTATTAATAATAGATCCATAAAATTAATAAATAATATAATATAACAAATATAATTTTTTATAAAGTGAGTAATTTTAATTTATTCATTTTTAATAAAAGAAAAATATAATTATAAAACTATTGATAAAATTAAATCATAAAACTATTGATAAAATTAAATCATAAATAAATAAAAAAATTAAAGCACAATACAAACAGTGGTATATTATATGTCGTAGATATATAGTATATCTAATTTATCATCATATGACAATCAAATATTTTTTACCAATGCGAATTATTTATTTTACAGAAAACTATAAAATATTGATAAGGACATAAGAAAATATCTTTTAAAGACATTGTGGGGATGAATAATATGAAGATTATTTTTTAATATCATTTTTTATTTAAAATAAATAAATGGCGTTAAATAATTTATTATCCAAGAGCATTGATTAGTAAATTTTGTTAAAATATTAACTGTAATATTAACTATCAAATATGTATGTAAAAGTGGAATTTTACCTAGTATTTTGTAACCAATTCTATATAATAGAGGAATATCAACTATATGTCTACTTATTTTTTATAAATAAATTTCCTATACTTGTTTGGAATAAATTATTACCATGCTTTTGTATTAATGTAAATACAACTAATTTATTATATTTTATATAAACTAATAAAAATATATATCATATTTGTTCCAGGCTTATTTTTTTTATTAAAAATAACCTCCTCTCTTGTACAAATATTTTATGACTATATATAGACTAAAAAAAAATTTAATTCCCCCCCCCCCCTTTAGGAAAATCTTGGCTACGCCTATGAGCTAAGGAATAGTTAAAATTAAAAAACAGTTCTAGACGTGAGTTATAGTGTATAGGATATTTATTATTTACTTTGTGGTGAATTATTCATTCTGTTTACTACTAGTAAAGAATTCAGTCGAAGTATACTTTCTCTTAAATTGGCGTTTGCCGTTATACATTTATCTTACTTACCAGGTAATCAATCACTATATTTTCTGATAATTCTAATTATTCAGATGAGCACCTTAAATTTGAATATTTTAATAATTGGAAATGGGGCTAGGGAACAGGCAATAACTTGGAAAATATCTCAAAGCCCTTTAATAAATCATATTTTTATATATTCAGGAAATTCTGGTACACATCTACTTTCAAATGCATCTAATATAAGTAAATAAAATAAAAATATATACTTTAAATTTAATAATTAGATGAAATATTTGTATCTTATGATGATTTAGCAACTTTTTGTATTAATAATAATATAAGTTACATTATAATCGGGCCTGAAAAACCTTTAGCCGATGGGTTTGTTGACTTATTACAAACAAAGTATAATATTAAGTGCTTTGGACCATGTAAAGTGGCTGCACGTCTAGAATTTGAGAAATCATTTGCCAAAGAGTTCATGATAAAATATAAAATACCAACTGCAGATTTTAAGGTGTTTGTTGATGATAATACTGCCATTGATTATATTAAATCTTTACAGGAGAAGTATTTTACTTACACAAAACAATAATATAATAAATATTTTATATAAGTTGCCCACTTGTGATTAAGGCTGATGGATTAGCTGGAGGTAAGGGCGTTATTATTACTGAAAACAAGGATGATGCAATTCAATCAATTTCACAAATTTTGATAGTAAACATTCACTTTGATTTTTCTTAAAATGGGGAAAATAGTAATATACATTAGTTATATATCACTTATAATTTTTATGTTTACTTAAAAATAAAATGAAGGAGGTTACAATTTTTAAAATATTTATTATGTATTATCTTTTAATCAGTTAAAACAAAAACATTTTAATTAATATTAATCAATAAATCTATGTAAATTAGGAATAAAAATCATAACCAAATATCTTCTTATCATCATTGGCTACAAGACATTTTTTCTCATTGCAAATTTGAAATTTTCATGGCATCAAATGTTCTATTTCAAATTAGTTGGTTCCAACTCTTTTTTTCTATAACATGTCCCGGCTTTGTTAAAGTCTTCCCTTAAGCTTCTATTCTGTCTTTTTAACACATGATTTTTTCTAACTTAGTCATGTCTGCTGTATTATACCTGCTTGCCTCAGTCTTATATAATAATAGGGTGGTGATTGGCACAATACCAATGTTCCTTTTTAATTTTCTTATAAAAACTTTTTAACCCATTATTTATTTAATTTATAATATGTTTGCATGCATCTTATTTGTATTTCCTTCATTCATTAACATGATGGGTATAAATTTCATTTTATTTAAACATAATTTATAAAAATAATAATTAAGTAAAATTTCTTAGAATTTAGATAAATAATAATCATGTTTTTTCTTATTATCTAAAATTATTGTCAATTTCATATAAAATATAATGAAACTAAACCTAAACAATTTTTTAAAGGAGAAGAAATTTGGATCAGCTGGTGATAAAATCGTGATTGAAGAAAGACTTACTGGGCCAGAGATATCAGTTTATAATTTTTTAATTTTACATCATTTTTTTTAAAATTCATTAATATTCTTAGTTGTTTTTTTTGAATCTAGCTTATTAAGGGTTATTTATAAAATTATATATATATGTCATAGGGTTAGATTAGAATTCAATGTATACTAGAAATGGAATCCTTAATATTTAGATCATCCCAATAAATTTATATATATTTTTTAATTTGAATCCAAAATTTCATGTCATGTCTGAAATTCATAGGTAAGAACTATACACATGTGAAATTCAATTCTGGCTTAAATCAACTTTTTAAAAATTAAATAATATGCACTGTAAATAATTTTAGCATTTAAAAAATCATTAATTTAATCAAATAAATTGATTTAAAAAAAATTTTCATAGCATAAATTTAACCAATCCTAACTGTAAATGATTTGTTAAATATTCCAGTATACTCTGATCTGAATTCTAGTATACATATACCTTACAACATATTTACATGCATGAAAAACTTTGTTAATGGGTTTTCAGGTGAGATCGGTTATGTTTATATATAATCACAATGTAAACATTATTTACATGAACCATGATTTAAGAATATAACCTTAAAAAATATATTTCTCAACCCAAAAATATATTTTCCTGGTAGAATCCCAAAAGGGTTTATTTTTAATTATTAGACCAAGTTCTGCACCTCTGACCACAATCTTGCGCTTACCATAAGTGGACCAGTTACAAAATCAGGTGATGGATCATTTAACATTCCATTCCTCTTATTTTTCTAATCTCTTTCTACAAAATTATTTTTTTAAAACCTGGGCTGGGCCAGACCTAAAAATAAAAAAAAAACTCCCGTATCATAACGAATATTAAACGAGCTGGAAAATGGAGACATAAAATGTTTACAACCAGGCTGAGCCCTAAAAATTAGATCTTTTGCTAGTGTCTGTATCTAATTTGACCTGGCTTTTTTCCATACAATAATAATTTTTTTTACCATCAAGTTCTATAAATTTTGAGAGATTTAAAATAATATTCATATTTTTATCATTGTGTGAATACAAAAGTCTTTGGCATTCGTAGACGGAAACACATATGCTATGATGCCCCCTAGTCAAGATCACAAAAGAGCCTACGATAACGATCTCGGTCCAAACACGGGAGGAATGGGGGCCTACGCCCCTTGCCCTTTGGTATGACATTTTTTTATTTACACTGTATATTCTTTGAACAGGCGATTGATGCCTGTCCATTTTGATTCAATTTTTGTGAACTCTTATTATTATTTACCTCAATAGTTTCTCTGAAATAAGCCTTAAAATAAATATTTTCTATAATATTAATATTAACCTAGGTCTAATCTAATTTTAATAATATTAAATAATATGATTAATATTTAGGAAATGGGTCTTTCTACGAAATTTTTCGCCAATTCTATATTCTCTATTTACATTCACACATAATTGTTTCGATATTCACCGTTCTATCTGCTACACTAGTGTTGTTAAACGGCCCAATTTGGCACGATTTTTTAAAAAAGGCCCGATTAAGATGTTAGCCACAATTAATATAACGTGAGCCTGATTTTACTCATAGGTGACAGAAAGCCTCTATTCGCCAAATCTCGAGGCCTATACTTAATATTATTCAGGCTAAAATCTTACCTTGAATTCATAGTGGCGTATCAATCTGTTTGTGAGATCGATTTTTCTTTATTAACTCATTATTTCTTAGATTATTAATATGAATTGAATTATAGATAATAAATAATAATTGATCAAATAAACAGGTTTTAAAAATCGATCAGCTGTTAAATCGCAATCGCGCCAGTATGAATACAAGACTAATCAGGTCTTTTTTAAAAATTGACCCAAACCGGGCCGTTTAACAACACTATCCGCAACATTCAATTTTATATATTAAAAAAAATTAACCAACTGTAAACTTATAGGCATAAATATTTCGAATTTTTTTTTAAAAAAAAGGGCATTTACAAATAAATTAAATTTTTGTACGTAAAATAAGACTAGGTAACAAATCATAGAATAACAAATAACCTCGATAATATTGGATCGATATTTTGATATCAATCCATTTTTATTTATTTTCCAAGAATTAATTGGATTGGCTCCCTGAATTCAAAGCACAAATTTATGGCGCGAATTCATTCTAACTGTGAATTCAGGGTAACTCTTGATATTTTTTTTGCCTCTTGCAACAGTTTTATAATCTTATTGCTCTTCCCGACGCACACATCTGTTGGTGTTAACAACTCAACTCAACACTCATTAATTAATTGAAGGGCGTTGTAATTTCACTATACTAGCATTGAACCAGATGGTGGTGTTTTTGGGGACGAGAATAATTTTCTTCCACAAAGAACAGAATAAATTGAGAAATGGCCCCCAAAATATGCGCTTTTTCAAAAAAAAAATTTATAGTATAGCCAATATAAAACACAAATTAATGCAGTTCTAAATTATTTTGCCCACATATTTTTTTTGTTGAAAATTGAAAACTGTCATATATGAATGTGGTGTTGAATAGAAAGAAGAAAGAGGAGATGGAGAGCATTCATTCATTATGATCATGCGAGATTTTTTTTATGATAATTTTATAATGATGTTAAAAAATTTGAATATATCAATTTTGGACTTACAATTTCTTTTTATTTTTTTTGGATTATAATTATATAGGGATGTACCGATATTTTATATCGATCGATCGGGTCGATATTTCACCCATTTTAAAATACCGGTTATCGGCCAATATTATAAAATTTTCGATCGATCCGATCCTGTCTTTAACAAAAATAAAATGTTATAAAATTTTTAAAAAAGTTATATTTAAAATCATTTATTTTTATAAATAAATTCGAAATCCATTTTTATGTATATTTTTTTAATAATAATAATTAATTAATAAACATTCTTCCATATTGTTATTTTTTTGCGCATTCTGTTTATAAAAGTGTGCGACAATCTTTTCAGAATCTCTTTTTAGTGAAGCTGGTGATATTGACAGGTACCATCGCCGCATGCTGACCTCTGATAAATTTGAAATTTTGGTATTTCTAAAGAAATCTTCGATATATTAATTTTAATTATTTATTTCAAATAATATATTTGTTTATTACTTATTATGTGTATAGATTAATGTTATATAAAAGTGATTTAACAATAAAAATATTTTATATACTTTTAGAATTGCAATTAAATTGAATATAAAATATAACTGATCATTATAATATATTCAAATGACATAAGTTATGGTTAGAGTTAAATTATAGATGTTATACTAATAAAAAGTATATAAAAAATTAAAACCATTGGTATCTTTACAGAATACAAAATTAGATATGATATCGGATTTAATATACTGTTCTTTATTTTCTTATATGTATATACACCAAATTGGTATATACTTATAATAAATTACTTAGGAGCAAATTTGGGTCGAAAAATCTTCAAAATAATCGCGTTTTATAGAATTTTGTCCAAAATATTTTTTTTGCTTTAATAGCCCGAGGTGGGCCAGCCTTTACAGTATTTTTTTTTTTAAATAAATTGAAAAAAAAATTTGAACCATAATTTTAATTTTTGTTTTGCGCCAAAAGGGTACACCTTCTATCATGCGATACATCAAAGCAAACGTTTTCGATAAATTTATGATCGGGCTCAAAGCCGAAAATATTCATTACGTTGGTAATAAAAAAGAAATTTAAAAAAGAATATATATTTATTATTTACAAGAGTTCGAGACCGGAACTAAATTAGGGTTTCCGGTTTTTAAATTTGTCGCGAGTCCGAGGGTAGCCATGTTTCTACGTAATTTATTCGACGAAAAAAACAATTTTAAAACAAAGAAATACACCATCTTTAAAACGAAATCGCGCAACATTTTTTTTTTGTAGAACAATTTTGTTTGCCATAAATTTTGAGAGAAGGATTTCTGGCTAGGTTTCCTAGAATTATTTATATTCCGAAGCCCCCCGTTTTAAACTTCTGATAGTATTGTCTTATTTAAGTAAAATAATATTTAGAAGGTTTGTAATTCCCCTCCCCCTTCATGCAATACATTGCGATGAATGAATTAATTTTAAAAAACATATTTACAGGTGTAATATACGCTGGAATCATGTTGACACCTCAAGGGCCCAAAGTTCTCGAATTCAACTGCAGGTTCGGTGATCCAGAAACCCAAGTTTGCCACTCATTCGTTACAATAATATATTATATACGGCAATAGGAACCCCCCCCCCCCAGAAAAAATTGAATTCAAATTTGTAAAAAAAAATCCAAATAAAAATTAGCAAAAAAGTAAAAATCTTTTTCACATTTATCTTGCTTTACCCAACTCCCATATATTAATATGATAAAGCATTCCTACTAATAATTCCCCACCATTCTTCGATTTTTGATTTGAAGAAGATCTCGTAGAAGAAATCCTATGTTATATGTTAGAATTTCAAAAAGTGTTATTTATAAGCGTCAAATTTGATTTAAAAAAAATACTGTTTTAATATGAAATTTTTAAGGTTTTATTTCCGGAGGTTTTCCATGGGGTTTTTTCCAGGATTCTTTATATACATTGAATTAGGTACGCATTGTCCCAAAAATTATTTTTTCTACTTGTTTACCCTTTAGATTTTTATTTCCGTTTTGAAAAATTAGGCGAATCTTAAATTTAAAAGCAAAAAAGACACGGCCATTGTTTATTGACCACTTAGTTTTCTTAATTATTATAAAGAGTAAAGACAAAAATATCTACTAGAGAGAAATAAAGAAAAACAAATACATATTGTCACTTTTAGAATTAGTGTGCCGGTATGATGAATTATTATTAAAAAATTGTTAAAATTCTTCGACCAATTATAATGTAATGAACAACTTTAAAAAGTGGTGCTTTCATAATTAAAATAAATTTTCAATGGAGTTTATGATATTTAATTTGTAGATAGAATAATACATCTTAACAGCTTTATGATCTTATCTTTTCTTTTCCCAGCCTTATCTTAAAGGTGGGTGTATCACTTTTACCTTGTAAATAAGTTTTAAAATAATATTTTGCAAGGTAAAATGTTATATATTAATGCATTATTGTTAAGTCATTTATGCATAAATGGAAAAACGAATTTAACAATTTTAGAAGCACCACTCCCCTGATATTCCAGAGTAAATGGCTTAACAGGATTTTTTTTTGCCAGAGGAGAGAGCACGATTTAATTTTTAAAATGTGTCTATACAAGCCATCTAGACAAATATGCTTCTTGGGAGAGGGGACATCAATTTATTTGGTATATAAAAAAAATTGCTTAACCCAAATCACTTACATTTTTGGCTTAAAATAGGGAAACTCATCATAAAAAAAATTAGGCGAAGATATCCTACCTTTCATATGGGTTTTAAAAAATTGTGAGATATCTTTAAAACAGATTTTTACCGCTTGGAAGTGTTTAAAATAAATTCGCACTACGCCAAAGTTAATATGAATATATATTTTTCACGCGGAATAAATTGGTATAAGGTTCTTTTACCGCTACTAAAAGACGACTTACTCGATATAATGATACATTGCAGTGAAGGCAAACTGGAGCAAATATTACCTATCACATGGGCCCAAGATCGGTTTTCCTTGGGCATTGTAGTGGCTGCTAAAGGTTACCCAGATAAATGTCAAGACCTAATAGTTACTAGTAATTAGCCTATATATATATGATTTGCCTAACTATGATCGTAAAGTCATTTGATCGCAAATTTGGTCCATTTTTATCTGATTGGTCTATTTCATCGCTGTAAATTAAAATCATTTAAAAGGGAGGGCCTCCTTTGATCGTAAGATTTTGATCGTAAAATAATCTTGGTCCATTTTTGGTCAAAATGGACAATTTTTTCATTTATATGCATTATTTAATCGTAATTATTCTATAAGCAATTTTTTATCAAATCCAAGCAAGCAATTTTTAATATCATCTACATTTTTTATCCAGGAAATTTTATATTCATAAATATATCAGATACTTCTAATCAATTTCTTAACAATATTTAAGATAATTATTTCAATCAAGCAATTCTTATATTAGATGATATGCAATTTTTATATCAGATTATATGCAATTCTTATATTAGATGCAAGCAATTTGAATATATCAGACATTGTTTTAATTATATTATATTTTATATTATGAGTATTTTATGTAGCAATGTATTATTTATTTTAAAGCTTATACCTATTAATAAAATTTAATTAGCAAATTTGATGTACAATTTCTTAATATAATTAAACTTTATAAATATGATTACTTAAGATTAATTTTAATGATTAAGAATATCTCTTATTTCTCAATATAACTTATGCTATTTCTTAATATAAAAGAATTCACTTATGCAATTTCTTAATATAACTTATAAATAAAATTAATTGATAATTGAGTCATAGGATTTGATTTTATTTATAAATTTATATTTTCTGTATTATAATTATACATTAATTTAATATAATAAGACTGATTAATAAAAGTATTTATATTCTTTTCTTTTGTTATATATTTATTATTGGTTTTCTTTAAGCTCATCCCCATATTTAGTTGTGATCATTTTGGATCAATTTTATAAAAGTATATATATTTGGATCTACTTGGTATGTTAGTATTCGGATCTGTACAAGATATACATTGAGAATCTTTACCTAAATTAATGTAAGTAATCTAGATAGGTTTAGTATTAAATATACCTTAAGCTGTTAGATGATTTTGTGTCACTTCAAATAAACTACCTACTAACTTACCTCTGCCTTTACAATCTCTCCTTCTGCAGCGGTAATATACTGTAGGCTCAGCTATTCTATGTATGGTATATTGAAAAAGGTTATAGCAGAGTATATCCTTACCTTTATTAAATTTGATATATTTTATTGGGTTGTCTAAAAAATATTTTTTTAAAAATCAAATTAAATTTATTATAATATAATATATCATACTTTGCAAATGATTCATTTCTTCTTTTAACAAATAGTCTTATATTATCAGCTACAGTATTAAGCATAATGTTTTTAAATGATTTGCCTAACTCTGATCGTAAAGTCATTTGATAGTAAATTTGGTCATTTTTTTTCTGATTGGTCTATTTCATCGCGGTAAATTAAAATCATTTTAAAACATTATACTTAATACTGTAGCTGATAATATAAGACTATTTGTTAAAAGAAGAAATGAATCATTGCAAAGTCTGATATATTATATTAAAATAAATTTGATTTGATTTTTAAAAAAATATACAACCCAATAAAATATATCAAATCTAATAAAGGTAAAGATATACTCTGCTATAACCTTTTTCAATATACCATACATAGAGTAGCTGAGCCTACAGTATTATTACCGCTGTAGAAGGAGAGATTGTAAAGGCAGAGGTAAGTTAGTAGGTAGTTTATTTGAAGTGACACAAAATCATCTATCAGTTTAAGGTATATTTAATACTAAACCTATCTAGATTACTTACATTAATTTAGGTAAAGATTCTCAATGTATATCTTGTACAGATCAGAATACTAACATACCCAGTAGATCCAAATATATATGCCTTTTATAAAATTGATCCAAAATGATCACAGAAATACTAAATTAAAGAAGGTTCAACTAGATATGGGGATGAGCTTAAAAAAAACCAACAATAAATATATAACAAAAGAAAAGAATATAAATATCATGATAGCATTTTATATCAAATCCTTTAAACAATGAATTTCTCTTACAGGCATTGAATCGAAAATTAAACACGAGAAAATAAATTAACAAAAAAATAAAAAAATGATTACAAGGTTTATGAATCATTGCTTAGAAATTGTTAGAGAAACCCATTTGAAAAGTTTAAATATTATCTTCCCTAACATATCTAAATACTATTTTAAAATATCGTCCCATGAGAATTAGATTATTCTATATCCACTTTTTTTTGTCAAAAATGACCATTTTACGCAAACCAATTTTTATAATTATACCATTCTATCTACATTTAAAAATATCCAAAATATTTATCAAAAAAATAGCTCAAATTAAATTCGATATTATGTTAACAATCCTACTGAGTGCAATAGAAATTTAAATTTTCAAAATTGCTTTCCTGTAAAATTATGGAAAGTGGAGAAAGAATATTCTAATCCTCATGCTACGATATATAAAAAAACTCCCCTATTTTATTATTTATTTTTAAAGCGATTTTGAACGTTTATTTATTTTATTTTTTTTCGTATTCAGAAATTCCAAAAACATTACCACTTTCCGTTCAAACACCGAATTATTTCAAAAACGGTGACAAAAATCGTAAATTACACCAATTGATATTTAACGCTGGAACTTGTTACGTTGATCCATCGGGTAATAAAATTCTTTTAAATTCATTATTTTAATTATGAACACCTCGATTTTTTTTAGAAATAATTGGGATCGGCCATTTATAATCTCTTGTATAACTATGATATAATTAGATAAATCGATTATCTAAATTATATAAGTATCAATCTAAGTCTCTATCCAATTAAAATACCAATCGTATAGCGTATTCATTAAGCCTAGTTAGGAGCTTCTTAAAGGGGTGGTTAGTTGGGGGTAATTATTATATTTTTGGCAGAAAAAAAATATCACTTTTGGCCTCGGGTTTTTTCCCTTAAAAATATAGCAGCTCAAATTTGAAAGAACCTTGTAAACGTCTCCGGCACGCGCCCGTGAATTGAGCCGAATTATCCGACATTTAGCCATTAACTATATTAGTCGCGTCTGCCATTTTTAAAAAAAAATATTTCACGCCCTTCTACGTTTACCTCCAACCATCGCCACTTCCTTTCCAATATTAGCTAACCAAATCCCGGTGTGACCAATTCTGTATGCTCTCTTTCATTTTATCATTAATTAGGAATAATATTTATTCCATGATATCGTCTTTCCACGAAGCAAATATCCACCTCATTTCCCTATAACGCTTAACATTTTCTTCTGTTTTTTTTTCTCACGACCCCAATTATCAATGAGTCCTTTGCTCATAAGATCCAAGTGAGAGATTCCGTTATCTAATAAAATTCTCTTTATTATCCCCTTAGCTTGAGGGAAAATAATCAATGTTTTAATATTTATTTCCCCCTAATTACAATTCTTTATAGATCTCGATACGACACATACAAATGGAGCTGGCAGGCTGTTCACCGTCGTTGGAGTAGCAAATTCTTTGTCATTGGCTTCGATCTTGGCCTATTCCTTGTGCGATAAATTTAAGATTGGCGATAATGGGAGCGAGTATTTTTACAGAAGAGATATAGGTGCTAGCGGACTCAAAATCGAGAAACAAAAGTTTAAAAAACAAATATATTTCTTTTAAGAAGAGATATTTTGTTTTGTGAAATTAATACAATTTTACAACTTAAACTACATCATTTTCATTTTTTAAACTTCTGAAGTTATCATTTTTAAGTATCTACATTATCATTTTAAACTTTAAAATGTATTTTTATGTAAAATACGTTTTGCAACGATATTTTGTTTCATTGAAGATTGTAGATTTTTTTTTTGAAACACTTTTGAAATTTTCCTCAAAATAATTTTATTTTTATTGGTAAATCTTTTGTAATATTTGTTTGTAAAAAAAGAACTTTTACGATCAAATCCATATTTTAAAATTTTAGATTTTTTATCGTGACTACTACTATGGTTTGAAACGCCTAAAGTTTAAAATGATACTTTAACAAAAGAAAGAGAAGAGAAAAGAAAAACTATATGTATAAATTAGTTTTTTAAAAAAAAAATTTCTTAAAATGATAATAAAAAATAATGTATTATATATATATGGGTTTGGAAGAGTTTCAAATTTACTAATTTTCATATAATTACGGAAGCTCACATATTCCTCCAGGAACCGACTTAGACGCCTTTCCCTTCTCGGAACGCTTCTGATCTGAGATCGCGTTTCATCTTTTATCCCTTTCAGCATTTCCCTGTAAATTTTATCAGTTCATCCAAGAAAGTTAAATAGTACTATGAATTCTCAGACTCTCATATCTTAAGTTTCAATCATAACTATGATTAGAATTAGAATCAGGATTTCCCCCCTAAAACCTTCACTTTTGAATGAACTTGATTATATTGTTTGTTTAATTATTTTTTTTTAAACGACTTAAGAAATAAATGCATCTAATAATAAAAAAAATATATAAGCTCGATGAAAGGAGAGGCCGAACATTTAAACGTTGATTCCTATGCCCTGAGCGGGGTGAACATAGACAAAACGGACAAATTTTTAGGGCTCATAGCGCCGGCCATGAAAACCAATTATAGGGAGGAAGTCATCGGCGGCATAGGCGGATTCTCCGCTTTATTTGATCTCAAGCCTTTGTTGGAAAAATACAAGGACCCCGTGCTCGTTTCCAGTACGGATGGAGTGGGCTCGAAATTGAAAGTTCGTTTCATGTTCATATAATGATAAATGCTGTGCTGACTGAAAAGTAACGGCGTTACTTTTTTTGAGGAAAAGGAACGTTATTCGTTTCAAAAGGTTAGGAGTAACGGGTTTCTTTATTTTGAGTAACGGTGACGCAAAAACGGTACTCGTACTTAAATTTTGTTTCTTTTATATATTTTTTTAAAATTTTATAAATAACTTAAGCCGAGTTTTCGATTCAGATGAACCACCAAAGTTCTTCGTTTATATTTTATTTATTACATTTTTTTTGGTTGAATTTTATACAGTCAAGATTGATAATCCAATTAATATTGAATCAATCAAGGTATGTTAATTTATATCTTGTTAATATTTGTTTTTTTTTTAATTTAAAGACCATTCTTTAAATATTTTTAGTAAATTCTTTCCCCCAATTAAATTTTTTATTAAATTTAATACAACCCTCTCATCCCCTGCGCCAGATGAACGGGTGTTTTAGCACGGCGAAAGCTCTGTTGAGCACTAAGCTCTATAGTTTATCCGATTAAAATTTTGAAAGTAAATTTAAATAATTATATAAAAAAGATCTTGTGTCATTTTATTTTTAGTATCTATAAAAAAATTTTTTTTATTACGGATTTTTAAAAAAATTGGTTCTCATACTGTTTTTTTTATTATAAATTTTAGAAGAGGGCTTCAACTTCTGCATCTAATTCCTAGATTTATTTTAATTCCGAGACTTCCGGTCCAATCAACTAAATTTTTTTTTTATTTAGTGTAATGTTTTACCAATATTTTGCTTTTGGATTCTATGCTGGAAATAGACTTTGTAAGCAGCACATTATGAATGTATGATTCGATTCATATTTTCGTAAGAAGCCTACTATTTATGATATATTAGATTTTTACATTTTAAAATATTTTCTCTATAAAGTTATAGCCAATATGAAGGAGTATAAATTAGATAAAAGAGATGAATAACATAAAGTGGAGAGAGATATTGAAGGACCTTACCATTAGAAAAGGTGAAAGCTTAAAAAAAAACGTTCTAAATTTCCCCCATACCTTGAAGAATCATTATAAGCGGATTTATTTATATTGTTTTTTTTTATAAATTAAAAAAAAATATACTTAAGATAGCTATAGAATCCGGTTCGGGTTACAAGAATTTGGGTATAGACCTAGTCGCTATGACGGTGAACGATATTTTAACCAGCGGAGCTGAATGCCTTTTCTTTCTCGACTACATATCAACGGCATGTTTGGACATCGTCAAAAGTGGTCAATTGATAGAAGGAATAATGGAGGGATGCAAAAGCGCTGGCTGTTGTTTGATAGGTTAAATTTTAATCAACATTAAAGACGTAGAATTATAAAAGATTAAAAAATCCGCCTTATAAAAATTAGGATCTTTGAAATCTGACAGTTTTTTATTATTTTTAAGGAGGCGAAACGGCCGAGATGCCTAGTTTGTACCATGGACTAGATTTTGACATAGCTGGTTTTGGTGTTGGTATAGTGGACAGGAATTTACTTTTGCCCGCAAAATCGGCCATTTCAAGCGGTCAACTCGTAGTTGGCTTAGCTTCCTCCGGATTTCATAGCAATGGGTTCAGTCTGGTCAGAAGAGTTTTCGTGGACGAATGTGGAATGGATTATGGTGACCCCTGCCCTTGGGACACCGAAATTAGTTTGGGTATTGTTATATTCAGTTAAAATTATTCATATTTTTCTAAGATCTTGACGTTGTCCGCGACTAACCCTGAATAATTCAGTATACAAAAAAAAATACAGCATATTTGTATACTACCCCGCGAATTCGCTCTAACTACGAATACAGGGTAAAATAAAAAGGCCTCAGTACCAATTCACAAACTTTCTCACCGCTCCTTTATGATTCACTTATGTACGATATTTTCATTGATTTCATATCTATCTTTGAATCATTATTTGCAAAAATATGAATTAACTTATACAAACTATGGGCTAAACAAGTAACACTTAAAAAAATTTGGTTTCTTATAAACCAAGGCGAGTGTATTTGGTATATTGAATAAGTGTAATTTGTTTTTTTTAGTATTTTCAAAAAGTTTAATCATCTCAATCAAAAATATGGTGGACTATAATTTATGGCTTATGACTCGTTAAAAGTTATTTTTTTCTGATTCGTTATTTTATTTTTATAACGACATGTCAATCAATATCTTGATCTCCACTAATTTCTACGTCTTATTTTATTTTTTTTTAAAACTAGGCTTGACCCGATTTTTAATATCGGTACCGACCAAAGTAAGACCAAAAACCACTTTTCAAAATATTTTAAATTTTTGATCATAAAATAACTCAGTTAATAATTTTTTTTTTTAAAAACTATATTTTACGTAGGTGAATATCTGTTGACTCCCACCATAATATACAATCCTTTTGTATCACCTTTAATCAATGATGCTAACTCGCTTCTCATCAAAATAAACGCCTTTGCACATATCACAGGTTTTACAGCGTTTTTAATTTTATTAGATTTGTCATGAAATTTGTTTATTTTTTTAACGTATTCTCATGCATGTGTATCTCTACAATTTGATCACATGTTGACTACCAACTTTACATTTGATTGATAAATTTTATAGCATTTGTTTCATGGGTGTCTGCGATTAATCGCTTTTAGAACTAGTTGAACCAACCCTTGACGAACCTAAACTGTTATAAGGAAAATTGATGGTGATTTATCTTTATTTTATCACTCAAAGAATCATTAATAAATTACATATTCCATGAATAGGTTTGTTACTTTTCTGTATTTTTTTTCCTCTCACCCCCCCCCCCCCCAAACAAACACACATGGGTAGCCTTTAAATTTCATGACAAATGTGAATATGGGTAATTTTAATGTTTATTTGATATTGGAAAATCATAATAATCTAAGCCGCATAAAATTTTATTATTAATCGGTACTTAATTATTACACGAAATCTCTCGGAAAATCTAATTTCTAGGTACGTGATAAATAATTATATCTTCAAATATATTAAATCCAAAATAATAATTCTGTTATTTGGGAACTCGAGCCAGTTATATATATATAAATTGTTTTTATTCCGACATATAATATGAAAAATAAAATAAAGGAGGAGGTCTGATAGACAATATCCCTAGAATATTACCCAAAAATTTAACTTGTACTTTGGACGCTAGTAAATGGCGTATTCCTCATTGCTTCTCCTGGATATATAAATTAGGAAGCTTGAATCTGTTCGACGTGAGCAGAGTCTTTAATCTTGGACTAGGGGGAATTTTGGTCGTTAATTCGTCCGACGCAACGCTAGTTCAAGAACACGTAGTGAGCCTTTTGAATGCCATGGGAATTGGAGCCTGGATAGTTGGTAAAGTTGTTGAAGGTATAATAATACATAATCATTTACGCCTAAAAAAATTTGTAATTAAGATAAATATTTAGTAAACTATTTTGATACCCCCCTTTTCATGGTATTCAGTGATTAGTTAGTTGCGTTCTTCTATTTTTATAAGCTGAGTTTCACACACAAAAAACAAATTAAATACACATTGTATAAATCCTATTCGTAAATGGTAAAAGGGGATACGGTGCAAATACATAACCTGGAGAAATCGTTGAACGAAACGTTTTCGGTCGATTCGTCAAACGTGTCGTCCTCACCCATGAAGGGAGGCGAAATTCGTATCGACGATAATTTTGCTTGTATGGGATCAATTGGGGATTCTATCTCAAATCAGCGGGTAATGTCTCATCGCAGAAAACGGATTGCTGTCCTGATATCTGGAACAGGTTAAATTTTTGGTTTTAATTTATATGGAAAAGAAATAGATTTTTTTTAAAATAATAATAATATTTGTCTATTATTTAAGGTACCAATATGAAAGCATTGATAGAATATTCCCTCCAAACGAAGGATTGTTCTTATAATGTCTATTTAGTTATTTCCAATAAAGCCGATGCTCCTGGGTTAACTCTAGCTCAAAATTTCAACATTCCTACCAAAGTTAACAAAAAATTTTCTCTCATTTAAAAATTTTTTTAATCTATGTTTAAACAATTTATTTATCCAGGTCATAAAACATGAGGAATATTCGAATAGAGAATCTTTCGACGAAGCCGTCCACAGGGAATTGACCGTTAATAATATCGATATTGTGTGCCTCGCCGGTTTTATGAGAATATTGACAAGTGAGTGACGTATAAGAATGTTATTATATAGAAATTATATTTTAAAAAATTGATTAATGTATATAGAAAATTAAATTTTGTTATGAAATCCCCCTCCTCCTCCTCCCATATAAAATATCGAATAACGTTTAAAAAACCAGGCGACTTTATAACTAAATGGAATCGTAAAATCATCAATGTCCACCCCTCCTTATTGCCTTCGTTTAGAGGAATGAGAGCTCCTTTGCAAGCCCTAAAGGCCGGGTGCAAAATAACGGGTTCCACGGTTCATTATGTCGAGGTTTGAATATAGAATTATTTTTTTTAAACCAAATTTGGTTTGCAAGTTTATTCTTTAATTTAAAAAAAGGCATATTTTATTAAAAAGGATTTATGACAGAGTTATTATAAAACAAAATTTTCTTGAGGATCTAAAGATTTTTTTTTGCCAAATCATATGAACGGAATTTATTTCTCTTTTTTTTTGTGTGTAAGAGAAAAATCTTCATTTTGTTTTTATACTCAAGGGGACATCAATATATTTTTTGGACCATAATTATAGCCTGATGTAGATTCCGGTTCTATCATAGCGCAAACACCCGTTCCGATACTGCCTAATGACACGGAACACTCCCTAACCGAACGTATAAAAATCGCTGAGCACGCAATGTACCCCAAAGTTCTGGATGAACTCGCGAAAAACTCAACCGAACCTACGGAACTTAATTTTCCTTATTATCATGTGTAGATTGGATTTTAATAAAATGTGATTCGTATTATTTTTTCCCCCCAGAATCATTATTAAGATTATCAAATGGCGGTCATTTCTAAATGTTATATAATGTTTAATTAAAACTAATAATTTTTTTAGAGGATGCATATGATTTATGTTTGTTAAAAAATTAATCAATCAATTAGGTTTTATTCGTTTCGTCATAAGATTTTATGGTTTACCTTTACATTCCGCTTCCTCAAGAGCTGGGGATAAGAGCTATTTGCCTCCAATTTTTTATTAATGGACGTTAAGGGAGGGCTGGATAGGCTTTCGAGGAGGGTAATGTAAGGCAAAAATAATCTAACATTTGTATTAGTAATATGCATCAGGCCTAATTTTTCAAGCCTGGTCCGACCCGAAATTTGTTTCCTGAACCAAATTTTTTTTATTTGTCCCGAAAAGCCCCACCCTAAATAAAAATTATCTGTTCGCCCGGCTCAGCCCGAATTTATTAAAATTATAGAAAATTTTTAATTTTTTTTATGATTGTAAAAATAAATATTCTACAAAACAATAAATATTAGCTCCTCATTTCTTGCAAGAATTTTAAAAAGCATAAATTTCTTTGATAAAATGTAACGATATCATATTTAAAATTTTAAACCAGTACCGGGCACGACCCGAAATTTTTTAAAAAATATAAGACCCGACCAAGCCTGAACCGAATTTATCTTTAAAAAATATGGGCCGGGACATGATTTGCAGATCTCTAATTTGTACATATTAAGAACACAAAATAATTGAGAAAACGAATTTATTTAATAAATAATTCTTTCGATTTTGTTGCCGAGATAATTATTAATATCATTCATTCATTAATCATAATTTTTTTAGCACGGTTTTATTTTAGTAAGCGCTCGAGACTGAAATTAATTATTAAGGGCTGGCAAAAATACATCTAGTGCAGCCTAATGATATGTAATATTTAACTATATTACCGATTCATTCAAATCATCTGGTGATGCCGCCATTTTGGTTTTCCACATGGATTTTATACATAAATAGAAACCAAATGAATTATCAATCTAATTAGTATTATATGACATTGGTTCCTCCCCTTAATATAAGTTCATCTTCCCTTATTTCGATCCAATTATTTTATCTGATAAAAGTTCAACGCTTAAGGATGTGTCCTGTTTTGACTTATTTAACACTTTAGGACACCCTGTTTAGTTTAAGTGTTTGGTGGCATTGTTTAATTTGTTTTTTTCTCTCTTACCTTTTAGGTAATTTACTCGAAGCCACATAAACAACCAGCTGTTTGGAAATATGTTGACCCACATGTCACAACCTATAAGTGCGCATAAATTGGACATTTCAATGCTGCGTTTCAAAAAGCAAATAATGCATTTTAAATGTATTCGTTTAAATTAAGCATATTTTGTATTTTAAATTATTTATATGCGTTTTGAAACGCTGCGTTGAAACGTTCAATTTATGTGCACTCTAAGTCTTTTCCTTCATTTTTTCAAATCTTTCGGTGTCTAAAATAAAACAAAAAATATTCCTATTTTAACAATATTAAATTCTTTCCAATTATAACATCAAACCAATATTTATTTTTTTGGAAAGCGATTAGAAACCTTCTTTCCTTACTATCGGCAATTTAAAAGTTGTTTTTAACTTTATTAGTTTTCAGAAAATATAAACTTTTAATTTAAAATATAGCGTAAACTTGGCATGGATATAAATTATCCGAATTACATTCACAAAAATGGGTTTTTTGTGATAAAATATTTATCATAATTGGTTTGTTAAATTTATAACTGTATTGAGTTTAATGTAAAAAAAAAATCTTCAGAAAATTTTTGAGCATAAATCTTTGAAAATTAATTTTTAATATAAATTGTGATTTCAACTTGAGAGATTTTATATGTATAGAAATTGCAAAAGATTTAATTATATATAAAATAACTTTCGTAAAAATTATTTTAAATTTTTGATCGCTCAAAAACTCTGCAGCCCCCACCACCCCTCCTTGTTTTTTATATAAATCATAATAGTCTAAGAATTTATAATTATGATAATAATTGACATTTTTCTATATTTGATCTTTACTGAAATCATATTAATATTAGCAATTTGATTTGCTTAATCCAAAGAAAGATTGCAACCTTAATAGTGCATCTTGATAATATTTTAAGATTAATTTTTTTTATGGCCGCAGGATTATTTTAATGTTTGAAGAAAAAGAAAAAATAAGGAATTCTTTTACGCTTTTTTTCTCCGAAGATTTTAACTTTATTTTATTTCCAGGAAATTATCCTCCAGGTGAATTTTTTTTCTGCCTTACCGTTATTTTATAAATATCTCACATCTTATTTTTGCATAGACCTTCATAGGTACCATTTCACCTTTAAAAAGTTGCGCTACTGTTAAATCCTTATTTATTATTATAATTGTTATTATATGGAATCTATATTTTCATGTGCATATATGATATAATGTTACATTTTACAGTATTTTATTACTCAATTATGTATAATATATGAAATACTGATCAAAATAATTTTGGTAAGTAGCTGTCATGTCACTTTTCTGTAGTTTCAATTTCAACAACTAATAACACCATTTAGTACATATGCTTATAAAAATCCATAAGACATTTGACTCTAATAATCTTCTAGCATTTAAAAATATGTTTCACTTTATAATTTATTATATTAATCATTTTAATAATCCTACACCGTAAATTACCCATTCCATTAGATTTGGAATTTCTATTTATATAATAATGGCTCTATTTTTTATGGTCATCATAAGGAAATTATTTAATCACATCACCTGTCATTTATTAAAACCCTCTAAAATATATCTTATCCCTAACCCATACCCCCCCCTTAATTAACCCTAACCCATATCTTTCTAACCTTAATCCTACTTGTTTAGCTTCCAATTAAAAAAATTTGAATTGCAGATACCTTGAGTTGGGTTATTATCATTTTTTTTTATAATTTATCAGTATATAGTATATATAATGTATTATATTTCAAAATAATATATTCGAAAACCTTTTATAAAATGAACCATAATCATTTACAGTTATATTATTTTTATTAACCACTCAAATGACATTTCTATTACTCTGCAAAATATTGAACTATTTTATTTATAATTATAAATGCGAATTATAATTACAAATATGAATAGCTCGATACAATATTATTTAAAAGAAATCAAAATACAATTCATTTTTTAAAACTATATGACCATGAACATTTTTACAAATGTTTCTAATTAATCAATGATATTTTATCAATAAATAAATGTAAAATAGATGGTATTCTTTTTTTTAAAGGTTATATTGGGTTATAAAAAAAATAATTGTTAACAGACTCGTAACCTATTCAGGTGATATTCAAAATTATAAAATATAATTTTAGAATAAAATTCAACATTATTTAAAATAACGCTAATGAGTATTAGTACCTTGTATATGAACAAATAATTGTAGGGAAATAATAAATCGTCAAACAATTTGATTATATATTAGAGACTGAGACTATTTTTTAAGGGTTAGCAAAAAAACTATAGGTTTGTTATATATATTTTTAAGCCCCATCTCAATGGCATAATACTTATAGACTGACAATTTATCCATTAAAATGCGTTTTGAAAGAGTCGCAGAATTACATATCAGCTGGTGATACGCCAATTATTTGTTTCCATATTACAAATTTTTTTACAAATAAAACTGATTTTTTTATGAAACTTTTCATAAAAACTTTAATATAAATTATTTATACCAAAAGAATATATATATAATTAATTTTAAATTTAATAATTTTGTTCTCAAAAAAGAATCTTAATTAAATTTTTTTTTGTCTAACATATCTTCTTTGGCTTTTGTTAGTAAAATGTCTTAATTGAAAACTTGAATGTTATTAGCGAAAAAAAATGAGAAAAAATTAAGGCTGACCTAAATTTTTACTATCTTCAGCATTTTAGGTGCATATTAGATGTAGACGATTCCCGAGTCGGCCCATAAAAATATTCTAACTAATTTTCTTTTAACAGGCCCGTAAAATATTGTTGGTACAATTTGTTTGGCCCAGCCTGTAATAATTTTTTATGAAGAAAAACTACGTAATTTGTGTAGTTATCAGCTTTAAAAAACATTTTCAAAACTATGACCTGGCCCGGCATAATTAGCCCAGCCCAAAAATTATTTTGGCAAGGTTGCAGCGACTATAGGTCTTACTAGAGTTGTTAAACGGTTTGATTTGAGCCGATTTTAAAAAAGAGTTAATTAAATATTTTATCCAGAAATTTTTATACAAGCCTAGAGATTTTGCTCATAGATGGCACAGACGGTTAACCCATTACCCAGACTACAGGGAACCTTTCAAACTTTCATTAGCCACCAAATAATGTTGCCACTCCCCCACTGCGAGGAGGCTAAAGATAGGGTGAAACCAATTTATGGTAGATAAAGTAAGAATTGCGATATGAAATGTTGGAAGCATGACAGGAAGAGTGAGAAAAGTGGTTGATACACCGCATAGAAGGCATATAGATGTGTGTTGCATACGAGATACCAGGTGAAAAGGTAATGCAACCTTTTAGCAACACTAAATAGGAAGAATTTAAACCCGCCCACCCTTTTGAACCCTTTTATCATGGGCATGAGGGGTTAAAAATTTTAATTAATGAGCACGCGGATTAAATATAAAAAAAATTTAAATGGTCCAGTGTGCGAAAAATATTTTGTTTCCTTTATCAAAACTAAAATGAAAACATTTTGTCTAATGATTTCCCACCATGCTTAGCTTCTTTATAACATGTCTCCTTTTTATGTCTACTTTGTAAGTTTTTATATTTTTCTTTTAACATAATCATTTTTTTTAAAAATTCTTTCCTCGCTTGAAATGTGCATAATTTTGTTAATAAGCCATTTGGGGTCTATTTTTTCAAAACGGGCCTATTAATATTTAGAAGTAATATTAGGGTAATCAATCGATATTTGGCAAATAGATATATAAGCATTTCTGCCAGCCACGTGCTAAATCTTTAGCCTTACATAATGTTATTTTAGTTATAATCTAGATCGGACTGTTTTTTAATATCAACCCTAATCGGGTTTATTAACAAAACCATATGCATACTCAAAATCAAAAACAAATGGGGCCAATGTTGTTAAACGGTTCGATTTGAGCCGATTTTTAAAAACGGCTAACTCAATATTTTATCCAGAAAATTCAAGCCTGAAAATGGTGAATCATAGATCTCGAGGCTTAAGCAATATTTATCTGGCTAAAATATTAATTTTGCCGTTTTTAAAAATCGGCTCAAATCTAGCAGTCTAACAACTCTAGATTCATTTATCAATTTATTATATATATATATAACCGTACTTTCATTTATTTAAATATCTTTAAAGGAAAAATTTATATCTCATAAGTAGATAATTTAAATTTCATTCACCTTTTAAATTTTTATTCACATTTTTTTTCCTCTTTAAACTCTCGTCAATGGTCAGAATATTCTCCTTGTTAAATTTTATTTTATAGTAAATAAATATAATTTTAAAATACCATTTAAAAAAGAATATTTTAAGTAATATTTGTTTTTTTTAAAAAAAAGTTTAGATATTACCCTTCATGACACCTACTATGTAGTTGCCCATTTGCAAATGGATAGCACTCAAGACATTAACGTCTACGATACATATATAATGGCAAAATAACAGAAAGGCTTTTCGCACTTACAAAAGTTACAAACTCTACTGGAAAAGGATGTTGATATCTTGAGTGAATGCCTTTTAAATGTTTTCATAAA